AAAAAAAAAAAAAAAGACTGTGTGCTGAGCACATTACCACTGGGCAGCCAGAGCTTAGTGCAGCTGGAGACTCAGAAGCCAGAGTAGAGTACACATCTCCAGTGCAGGCTGGAAGGGGCAGGCCTGGGGGTCATGGGAGGGACACGACAGGATCTACCACAGTCACCCTGCTGACTGCCAACAGGGGGACACAGCCTGGCTCCAGACTAGAACTCTTGACACTGAACTATGCAGACTCTCTCTGCAGCGTCCTGCAAATGTGTCTGGTGCTTGGTGAGCACCCAGAAAGTGTTGACGTTGCTGTTGGACGGGACTGGGCTCATTCAACTTCTCAGTATCTCTGCCACTACCTTGTTTTGCCATGTATTCGAAGTCACAAGAGGAACTGCTCACTTGATAGTAAAAAGTGTGGGCTGGGTGCAGTGGCTCAAGCCTGCAATCCCAGCACTTTGGGAGGCCAAGATGAGAGGGTTGCCTGAACTCACGGGTTTGAGAACAGCCTGGGCAACTTGGCGCAAGATCTTATCTCTACAATAAATCAAAAAATTAGCTGGACACGGTAGTGCACACCTGTAGTTCCAGGTACTTGAAAGACTGAGGTGGACCCTAGCAGGTCGACGCTGGGGTGGCCATGAGTGTGCCACTACACTCCAGCCTAGGCAACGGAGTGAGACTCCAACTCAAAAAAAAAAAAAAAAAAGAATGTGGACAGAGCATACAGTACCATGCAGCAGAATATAAAAGGAGGTAATGCCCAAGGGGCATCAGGGCCTGGCTTAGGGAAGACCATGAGTGCCAGGCCTAGGAATTTGGCTTTATTTTCAGGATGATGAGAAGTTCCAGGGCAGAGAAAGGAGCCCAAGCTATCCTTTCCTTCATAGGATGGCTGGTAACCTGGTAAAATTAAGACTGGAGGGTTGTAGGTTCTTGTCTCCATGGAAGGAAGTTTCTTCAGAAATCATCTAGGTCACAGCCCTTGTTGTAGTATTCCTCAGCCAGCTTGCATGTGAGAAGGGAGACATGGGGAACTGCTGCTGCTCATTTTACACAGGTATGATGTCTGTTGACTGTTCCCAGCATATCAAGAAACTGAGTCTCTATGCAGGTTTTTTCTGCGCAACTTATTTAGACTAAAGTACAAATGACTGGCCGGGTGTGGGAGGCACTTTGGGAAACCAAGGCAAGAGGATTGCCTGAGCCTGGGGGTTCAAGACCAACCTGGGAAACTTGGTGAGACCTCATCTCTACGATAAATCACACACACACACACACACAAACTAACTGGGAATGGTGGCATGCATCTGTAGTTTCAGTTACTTGGAAGGCTGGGGCGGAAGGATCACCTGAGCCCAGCAGGTCGAGGCTGCGGTAGCTGTGAGCATGCCACTGCGCTTCAGCCTGGGTGACAGAGTGAGATTCCAACTCACAATATATAAATAAAGTACAAATGACTCAGAAGCCAGAGTAGAACACAGAAGTAAACATGAATTTCTTCAGAGAAAGCTGGGTAAAGAGTACATGTTTTGAAAACAGACCTGGGTTCCTTCCTCTCTTGGTATTGCCACGTCTTAACCCTGTGACTTTGGGCAGATTAGGCCCGATTCCTCCTTCATTCCCTTCATCCCACACTTACAGGAACCCACTTCGCATGTCTCCATGTGTGCTCTTCACTGTGCCATTGAGGAGTTCAGTCTGTCAGTAGAGTCAAATGATTCCTCTGGCGCATGACTGAGGGATGCTAGTGGTATGTGCAAAGGGCTTGTGGACTGGCTATAAAGAAATAGTCTTCATAACTGACCAGCAGAGGCGAGGGCTCAGGGTAACCTAGCTATATCCCTGTGTGTAGAGTATGTCTAAAGGAACTAGTAAGCACCTCTTTACTTTCAGTTACCCCTAGCAACTTAAAGAAGTGCTGGGAGGAGCATAGAGTAAAAGCAAGAGAGATTGTGGTTAGATGTGAGCAGGACTGATATTCAACTTTACACACCATTATGGTCTTATCAGTTGCTGAAATATTGAAATACTGTCTGTTGATAAACAGTCACTGTGTCGAGCCCCTAGGATGCCCTCTGTACCTTGACTGCCTCCTCAGCGACCCCCAAACCTCCCCAAGTAAAAGGTTAATGTGATTCCAGTGCTGAAGAGTAACAGTTCTGAATGGTCCATGCCCCCCATGGGTTGTTGATATTTTGAATATGCCCCAGGATTTAAGGAAGAACTTGCTCTCCCTTGCACAATATGAACACCAAGTCTGGGGGAGGCTGCATTGTTTCATGGCTGGAGAACGTCAGAGAACAGAGGAAAGTAGAGTGCTGGTCCAAAAGTCCTCTGAGAACCCCCTTCCCCTCGAAGGGCTCCAGGGGTCCTCTAAAGCCAGGCGGGCCAAACTGGTGTAGGATCAGCCCGCAGCCTGGCCCTCGGGACAGCTGCTGGGGCTGCAGACAAAGCGGGCATCTCTGTGGCCCGGGCAGCCCGCCATCCTCCTGAAAGGGGATCCGGCAGGGCGCGGAAGCTGCGGAGGCTCCATCAATCACTGAGCATTTCATTATACCTTGGACAACATCCATAATGGAATAAAATGTCAGTAAGTTTACTAGGGGAAAAATAGTAACTTCTACATAGCCAGTTTGTTTTTTATTGATAGTAATTTCCAAAGACATTCCAATATCTTCAAAGCCATCATTAATAGCCTCACGGCATGTCCATTTTGATGTGCAAATGAACAGATGCAGAGTCACAGACAATAATGCAATGCCTCCATTTCAGCTGAAAGTAATAAATCCGCCTCGGAATTTGTCCCAGTGTAACCCTCGGAAGTTCTTTCTTTTCTGCACATTCTCGCCTCTGTCAGGGAGTTAGAAAAGCCATTCGTTATGTTTCCAGATAAAAGAGCTCACCTCCTCCTCACACACAAAGGGGCCCCCTGCATCTCAGGCCCTTGCTTCTCATGGAGATGAGGCCAGCCAGGCTGTGGGCTCCCTCTCCACACCGGTCAGCTCCACCCCACGGCCAGCTGGTCATGGGTCACCCTTCCCTGCTTTCAGAAGAATTGGAGCCTTACTGCTTGAAAGCATTCTTTCTCTCTTTTATTAATGTGCTAATTATTCAGCTAATATTTACCAATCCATCCATCACATGTCTCAGGTTAGAGTGCAGGATCAGAATAATAATAGCTGCTACTTACTTGAACATCTGTTACGTGCCAAGCATTGTTTTGTATGAATATCCATCTGTTATCTCATTTAATCTTCAAGGAGCCTTACTATGTAAGTGGTGCTATCACCATATTAATGATGAAGAATACAAGTTTCAGGGAAGCACAGTGATTTAAAATGTTTTCATTATTAATAACAATATATTAACAATAAGAACAACCACTGCCAAGTACTTACTACGTACCAAGTCTTCCATTAGACATTTTGTGTTTGTTTTCTTATGGAATTCTCACAATCACGCCATAGAATTGGCACCCTATTCCCATTTTATAGGTTAAGAAGTTGAATCTCAGAGAGGGGAAGCTGTGCATCCCAGGTCACACAGCCAGATAGTGGTGGAGTTGGGATTTGGAACTAAGTCAGCCTATTCCCGAATGCTGTTTCTCTCCACTCCCTCAGAAATGTGACATGCCAGTCTCAGCCTTGGAAGTTCTTGAGCCCAAGCACCCTGAGAACTTTGTGGTTAATTTCCCATCTACAGTGATAAATGTTTAACAATCCCTAAGCTTGTGCTTTGGATGTTTCACTGGAAGCTGTAATGGAACGTCTTTGCTGAGAAACCCATCAGAAATTTCTCAAAGGTTAGTTTTCTTTTCCTAAGTAGACAGGCAGAGGAGACAAGTCCACTGTCTCTGACGGGGTGACTGCTCTCTTCAGCCATCCATTCTGGCCACAGTGGTCTTGAGTCTGACAGGGAAGAGATGCATGCCAGGCAGGGTGTCTGGGCAGCAGAGGGGGGAGCATGTGCCCCTGGGTGTGGTCACGTGTGCTGACAGGTATCCCTGGATGAAGGTGGCCTCAGGAGGCTTAGAGCCTGGCAGGGGGCCAGATTCTTTGGCAGATAGTGAAGAAGATAGTCATTGCTCCCTTCTCAGCCTTGGTGCTCTCTGGTCTAGGGTCTCTGGGTCCTTTGGGGCTTGATGTGGTGAGAGGTCCAGTCTCCCACAATCTTGCTCATTCTCATGCTTTGCCTTCTTAAGCTAGAGCCCTGGGAACTGCACCTTGGTACAGTCCGTAAGGTCATCCCCTCCTTGCATTAGGTCTCTCTGCTGTTGCCTTTGCACCCTCTAAGCATATCTGTATGGATTTTAATCCACTGGTCACAGTCAGGTGTTGACACTGACATTGTGCCTAACCCTGGTGAGCCAGCTGTGGTGGCGATGTGATCTCTACCCTCTAGAAGCCTTCAGTTGTGTTGCAGAGACAAGACACACAGATATAAACCTTTTTTTTTCAGTTGGAGTCTCACTCTGTCACCCAGACTGGGTGCAGTGGCACACTCCTGGCCACCACAGCCTTGACTTGCTGGGTGCAGGCGATCCTTCCACCTCAACCTTCCAAGTAGCCGGAACTACAGGCACATGCTATCACGCCTGACTAATTTTTGATTTATTGTAGAGTCACGGTCTCACCAAGTTGCCCAGGTGGGTCTCGAACCCTCAGGCTTAGGCAGTCTACTCACCTTGGCCTCCAAAGTGCTGAGATTACGGCTGAGCCACCGAGCCCAGCTAAAAAAATTTTAACAACAGTTAATGACAAGTGTTTTGTTGACAGACACATTTTTCAGGCGTAACATGCAAGAATCCAGAGAAAGGGGAGGCTGCAGGAGGCTGGCATGGCCAGGGTCAGAAATCTAAGCCTCCAAGGATGGGCAGGAAGCCAAGGATGGCTGTAAGGGAGGAGCAAGGACAGGCCCAAATGCAGGGCAGGAGAGAGAAACTCGAGCAAGTTGAGGCAGGGAGGATGAGCATGTACCCCACTGGATAGGAGAGGAAACTGAGGCACAGGTAATTGAAGTGATTGAGCTGAAGAGATTTAATGGAAAAGTTACTTCCTGATAATCCCAGAAGTGGGTGGTTTGCAGACCCACTCCTCCAGACCCGTTAGTGGGCAGCCCCATGCTGCTGCTGTGGCCAGGTCTTAGCAGGAATAAAGAGGAGCCTCCCCCACCCTAGGGAGCTCCCAGACTGGGAGATGTCAGGACTCTCTTCCTCTCTAAGAAACCATTTGGGAGCCAGTGGACTGTTGGGAGGCTTTGGGCATGCCACTTCCAGACACTGCCTAATTTCTCTGGTGGCTGTGGCATGCTCCACAGGTGACAAGAGGAGCTGGATGCGGAGGTTCCGGGAGATATGCAGCATCTTTATCACAGGTGCCTGATCCAGATCTCAGCACAGTTATTGTGGATGTGCATTCACAGCTTGGGGACTGTGATGGTGTATTTGCAAATTCCCAACCTGCTGCTCCTTCAAAACACTGGTGCACATGACACTGACAAGCCTACTGTATCTGCGTGCTCCCAGACATCTCCCTCCCTTGGGGTGACAGGGTAGGACTATGACAGACTCTCTCTGGCACGTGAGTAGCTGGGTTTACACTGCCACTGCTTTGTGGCATGTCCCCAGTGTCCCCTTCCAGGGATGCACCCAGGTTCTTTGGCCCTGTTGATTCTCATGCAGGACACCTTTCTTACACTCCAGCAGACTCTGTGTGCACACTGCAGTGATGGGACTTACTGCTTCCTAGGACAACAGACTTTTTTGTTGAACTAGCTCTTCCTGTTTGAAAGATCTTCCTTAAATTACCTAAAATCAGACTAACGTCTTCCCTGTGGCCCACAAGGAGGCAACAGAATGTGTCTGTCAGGACATTTGCAGAGGCAGAGAGGTCCCGCTGAGCCTAGGGAGGGAGGACTTGCCAGATGGGTTGACCTCCATGGAACTTTAGAGCTGGGGGTGGTGGGAGAAAGCAGTGGTCAGCTGACACCAGGTGCCTGGCAGGACTGTCCTGGTGTGCAGTGGGCGATTCACTAAAAGGGGCAGGAGACAAACAAGGGGGAGGCGTCAGATGCCCACTTGCCTTAGCACTGAGGGGAGGTCAGACTGTGGCCCTCTTCCCCTGGGCTTTGCTGCGAGGGTCCTTGGCCAGGGAGAGAGAGGTTCCCTTGGTTTTTCCTAAGGCTGAGTCCATAGTTGGAGCCTTACCCCCTGTCTCTTAGGCCTTCGGTCTTAGTTGTGCTTCCCTCCCTGCAGGCACATACATTGGCTGCTTTAGTGACGATGGTCACGAGAGGACTCTGAAAGGTGCTGTGTTTTATGACTTGAGAAAGATGACCGTCTCCCATTGCCAAGACGCATGTGCCGAGCGGTGAGTGCTGGGGCCCTGGACTGTCAGCTCCACTGGGAGTAAGGTCAAGAGACAGACCTGAGAAAGGGCCTACCTTGCTGCCCATTGGCCATCATCATGTAATGAGACCTTGTTGCTCAAATCCCAGTTGTCCAGCAGAAAGAAGGTTTGTTGGCAGATGGCATGGTTGCTGGGCCAGTACTGGGAGATGTGGCTTCCAGTCCAGCTATAACAGGAACTCACCATGTGACTTTAGCAAGTTCTTTTCCTTCTCTGGGCCTCAGTTTACTCATATATTTTAAATAAAATAAAGAGCTTTAAACTTAGATTTCTCTGAGAGGATCTTTCCAACTCTTTTAGGAAAAGTATTTCTGTCTTGTGTTCATACCAAGTTTTTTTTTTTTCTGATACTGCCCGGTCACCTAAGCAGTTGCCAGATACTTGTTGTATGCCAGGGAATGGCTCCTAATATCAGGGCTACCACAGTTCGCAGTGTGTGTGTGTACATGTGCGTGTAAGAGAGCTGAGTCAAACAATCACAGACTGCCCTTTTCAGTTATTTCTATCACTTTAGATTCTTTCACCTTTGCTGTGTCATATAAATCCTCACTACACTCTGTCAGGTAGCGATTAATTATCCCCATTTTACAGATGGAGAAACTGAGGCTGGAGAAAGGAAAGACAAGTTCCTTACTTAAAGATGTAGAGCCAAGATAAAGCCAGAACTGAGGATGCCACCATCTCACTGTAGTCTCCTAACAGTTAAGGAAATGGAGTCAGTGTATGATGCTCAGGGTCTCACAACTAGGAAGCAGCCACACAGGGACTAGAAGCCTGTGTTCAGGTGGCCAGTGTGGGCTTTTTCTAGGCCCACTGAGAAGGGAGTTTGAAAATGCTTTCCACTTTCCACAGTTGCAGTCCTGTATAACGCGTTACAGGTTCCATTGCTAATCTTTTCTTACTCCAATTTATACCTGGGTAAGAAGAGATAAAGAAATAGCTATGGAGACCGGGACTGTGCAATTTGTAACAAGATGTGACATGTGGCAGGTGCTTCTGACTAGTGATGTGCATGGCTGGCCCATGAGAACTAACTGTTAAATTTTTAGAATGGTTATAAGCCCATTACAAATGTTGGTAGCTCGAAACATCTATAGTGGAGTGGTTACCCCACAGAAATTGGCAAACGTAAGGACTTTCCCTTGCTGAGAGCCAGTTTCCCAGCACACCACTGACTTTGACCCACTGTAACCTGAACCATGGATGGCACCTTAGGAGGCAAAGCTCAGGGCTAACAAGAGGGAGACCCATGGGGCTGGTTAAATTGTGTAATCCCAAAGGAAAGACTGTTCCCTGAACTTAGCCAGATGACCCTTCCGCCTGACTGGAGACAGATCCCTAAGGCCAGCCATGTGCTGATGACTGTGGTCCCAGCCTCCTCACCCACATTTAACCTCAGCTTCAAGTTCAGCCGTAACCCCAAGATCCAGCTGCCATTGCCTGATCCGGACCTGTCTGCTGTTCCGACCCCAGCCCTAGCTCTGGGCTGAGGTCCAGACTTACCCGGGCCCTGTCTCCCTGCAGGTCCTATGTCTACGCCGGCTTGGAGGCAGGTGCCGAGTGTTACTGTGGGAACCGGCTCCCAACGATGAGCGTCGGGCTGGAGGAGTGTAACCACGAGTGCAAGGGCGAGAAGGGCTCTGTGTGTGGGGCTATGGGCCGGCTCTCTGTGTACCGAGTGGACGAGCTGCAGCCAGCCTCCAGGAAGCGTGAGTGTGCCATCCCCTCCCTGAGCTTTGTCTGTCGCTCACACCCCAACTGCTCCTCACCTGCGGCCCCTCATCCAAACTACGTGGATGGGACCTGTGTCAACCTGTGCCCTCCCTTCCCTATCGCCTTCACTGGACGGGATCCTGGCAGGCTAGAAGATGGGGCTAGGGTCCATCAAAGCCGCAAGTGCTTGAGTTTATGACTGAGGCACATCTTTCTTTATCCAGAGTGAGAGAGAGAGAGAGGGAGAGAGACTGATTAGGAGGCCTGGGTAGGCCTCAGAGGTGCTGAGTGGCCTCAGGCTGTTCACTTCCCCTTTCTGGGCTCCAGTCTCTTTTGTAAACTGCAGAGACAGACCTAGATTTCTAGCAATGGTGTGGACCAGATCATCTGAAAGTTCGCTAGCTGCAAAACACCTAGAAATGTTGAATGAAATTTAACAAACGTCATTTTAAACAGATAGCTAAACTAGCAAGAAAGTAAGGTGATCCTGGGTCTAGAAATGAAGAGGGAATGAAGAACCACAGAGCAAAAAGTTAAAGATGACACTGTGGACCAGGTAGTGGCTCATGCCTATAATCCCAGCACTTAGGGAAGCTGAGGTGGGAGCATCACTTGAGCCCAGGAGTTTGAAACCAGCCTGGACAACATAGCAAGACCTTGTCTCTACAAGAAAAGAAAAGAAAAATTAGTTGGGCATAGTGGCATGCACCTGTAGTCCCGGCTATTAGGGAAGCTGAAACAGAAGGATTGTCTGAGCCCAGGAATTCAAGGCTGTGGGGAGCTGTGATCATGCCACTGCACTCCAGCCTGGGTGACAGAGTGAGATCTCGACTCCAAAAAAAGACACTGGGTCTCAGCAGAGGTAAGTTGCCTGTCTGGTTGGCCATTCGGTTTAGGTTTAGGGAAGAAGACCTTGGGTCTCTCAGGGCAGGGAATTGGCTTGAAACTTTTGTATAAAGTGGACTTGAATTTCACTGAAGTATAAATTAGTGAAAGTTTAGATTAAAAAAAGAATACCACCCACCAGTTCAGGGTGATAGAAATAAAGTTTGTCTGTTTTGACCTGAGCTTCAGGTTAGAAAAAAAAAAGTCTTCCAAGAATTTGTAACCACAGTCCTGCATTTGTGTTAATTTGGGGGTTCAAGTGTACATTATCCACCTGAAATCTTCAATATAAAGTTGGCTCTGGGCTCTGGCGGTCCCTCTTGAGAGCTGTGCCATCAACCAGGAAGAAGGGGCTCCCAGAGGTAGATTCTCACTGTATACTGAGTTTGCAATTCAATATGATAGAACCTGGGAGAAAATAGTCAACCATGAGAGGAACTAAGCTGTCATTCCCAAGAATGTCAACAGAAAGTACCATCAAATAGAGATGGCTCCTGAAGGGCCTCAGCTGAAGGAGTCTGAAATCCAGGTTTGTCCTTGTTGTGAGATGATGAGCTCAAATTCACTTAATCTAATTACAGAAGGCTCCTTTATAAAACTAGGTTTTCCACTTCTGCATATGTGGGGGGGGGCTGTCCTTTCCATGATTGGGACAGCAGGCTGGGAAGGAGTCAGAGCATGCATTGGGAGGCAACCTCCCCCGCCACCAGCAAGGGTGGGACAGTGGTGGTGAAAGCTGAGCCCAGCATCCAGGTGCAGTGACTTATGGATGCAACTACCCCTGGCCGGGTCCCAATAGCAGGACTCCAGGAGAGTTAATGGAAGAGTTCAAGAATGCAGTAGAACTCACGTAAAGAGGTGGCAGGTCAAAAGCTAAGACTTCAGAGAGGTTTTTCTGGGAGGATTCTCCTGGTAATGAGTGAGTTTTGCAAGCCCAGCCCTGAGAACCATGAGAGAGTTTAAAGCCCAACTCTGACTGGCCACTGCCTTGGGGTCACAGTGCCAGGGAGAGCCGCTCTGTGTTAGCCCCAGCTGACCAGGGCTTCTGAGGTGCTTCTTGCACTCAGGATGTGTCTGGGAGCCAGGGAGTCTGGAGGGGACAGTGGTGACACAGGTAGAGACACTGACAGTACACTTATTAGTTTAAGGATTCACTAATGAGGCCAATAACAGATACTCATTGACACCTACTCTGCACCAGGTCCTGACAAGGCACAGGAGTTTGCTGTGGTCCACAGAGTCCTGCCCTGTCACTTGGGCATCCAAATGGACTCCCCAAAAACCAAATTGTCCCACACTGGCTTTCATTTCTTACAGTTCAAACAACATCCCTGCCCCCAGTAAGACCAGGCCTATGTGTCGACTCAGGGTTGCCCTTACCAGCCCCTTCTGTCTGCTCAATAATTGGTTCTCAGAGACAGTTGTTTTGCTCAGGTGGCCCATTGATTAAGGGACAGATGGTCCAATCATTCAAGCCAGCCCCAGATCTTGAGTCAGCTAGACCTGCTGTCATATCTAATGTTGAAAAGGGTGTCATAGCCATCCCTTCAGGCAGGCTGTGGATCCCGCCCTGTGAGATTGGCCCTTGCCTTCTTGCTCCCTTCTGGAGAGGATGAGCTGACAGGATCTCTGTCAAGAGCTGACCAGGTGACCACCATTTGTAAATTGCAGCTTCTGGCTGGCAGGGAGCATTCACAAGGAGTAAGACCCATGAATGTGCTCCCCAGGTTGGAATCAGAGGTTGATTCAGAGCAGGTCATTGATGTCTTTACCTTGGAGGTGTCATTTTCTGCCCTAAGTGGCCCTCAGGCTCTCACCCGGGGAGCGAGAGAGAAGGGTATGGAATAGATTGCATTAGGTGACAATCTGTTCCCTGACAGTCGCATCAGGGAAGTGCAGGGGCAGCTCACATGTCACCCACCTGTTGCAGTGGGTGGAGTGCCGTCATGTGCTTTATCTCATCCACTTCATTTGTAGCTCAGCACGTAGTGGCACTTGCTGCGTCAGGGTCAGGGTTGGGTGCAGGGAACACAGGGCTGACCCAGATGTAGCTCCCCCTAGGAGCTCTGTTCTGGGGGCCACATGGCCCCTTGCTGTCCCTCCTGTGACCTGGGACTCGCTGGAACCTAGATCACTCCACTCTCCCTGAGTCTTGCCTCCCCTGCTGACTCTCCCCATGCCTGTCCCACAGCAGATGAGCCGGCCAAGGACCAGCACCCAGTCCATAGACATGTTTGCTTTTTGGGGTCAAATCATGCCACAGGACAGGAAAGAGTTTTGTGAGTCCAGCACTAGCCATTACCGTTGGCCTTGACACCAAAAACCAGGGCAGGCACATGGTTGCAGGGAGACAGCCCCATCTGGGTCGGCATGTGAGTGCTCTTTGCACATCATAACTCTAGGAGCTAGGCTGTATACTCTAGGAGCTAGGCTAGGAAAAGGGTGAGGTGAGGAAAAGGGGAGTCTGAGTCCATGACATGACAAAGTTGCAGAGCTAGTGGGTGGCAGTACCTGGACTTGATCCCAGGCACTTAATTAAGCCCAACCTGTTTTCCCATACCAGGATGCATTCCTGTATCTGTGCCCCAATAGGCCATGCCCTGACGTGTGGACCCTTGGTGCTGTGATCAGTCGGAATGGGCTTTCAGATCCAGGATTTGGTTCTGCTTGGCAGATTTTGGCTGATGGGAAGGTTTCTGCTCTCACCAGGAAGCTGATAGGTCGAGAGAGCTGGAGGTGGGGAGACTGTTGAGTCCTGGGAGAACATGTGTTGAAAGGAGTAAGGAATAAGAATCATGCAGCCATCTAGAGAAACGCTGATGAGTCTGGAAGAAATATGAACCATTGGGACCAGAACAGTCCAGAAGTTTTGTTGAGCACCAAGGAAGCCAGCTGGAAAGCTGGACTTTTTCACCTGGAGGTCTGGAGAGCAACTTGACAGGAGGCTTTCTTTGTAACACAGGCTTTGAGGAGTACTCTCAGAATTTGAGTGGGAGTACTCCTTGAGAAAGAAGCAAAGCAGTGGTGTGACTCCATGGGGGTGTGGCAGGATTTTAGATTTCCATGTCTACTTTTGTTAACACATGTTCTGGAAAGGCAGAATTTTCCAGAATATCAGACTCTGGTCATCTACTGCCGAATCTCGCACGTAGTAGATACATAATCCGAATTTGTTGAAGGAAGGAAGGGAGGAAGAGAAGGACAAAAGAAGGGGAGCAAGGAAGGAAGGAAGGAAGGATGACTGGCCACTGTCCCAGAGAACTGTCAGGAGAAGAAAGACCTGAACTCAGCCATTTCAGCCAAATGGCCCCTTGTTGGTGACCTTGTGCAGTCAAGGTCTTGATGTCTAGCTTCTCTCAGGAGCTTGGCTTGACCACACCTCTTCCAGGGATGTTTTCCCTCCCTGATCTGAATCCTGCCCCTGCCAAATATATTTATACCTGTCTCAGGATCCAAAACCAGTGCTTTCCCTAGTGACAGGCAATAACCATGTGTACCATTTCTCACGAGAGACCCATTTCTTCCCCCACAGGACGGACTGCCACGTACCGTGGGTGTTTCCAACTGCCAGAGAACATCACACATGCCTTCCCTGACTCCCTGATCCAGGCCAACATGACGGTGGAGATGTGCTCCGGATTCTGTTCCCAGAAAGTAAGGCCATTGTTACGTTCACTACCTTTTCCTCTAATAATCCAGTGTGTATGGTGGTCCTCAGAGAGGGGGTAGACACCCATGCTTGTCTGCGGGAGTCCTTGCTGACTGCCAGGGCAGGAGCTGAAGACAGAGGTGTGGGAGGGAGGCAGACCATGCACCAGATGTCACAGAGGTGCCAGCAAGGAGCCCGTCGCCTGTGTCGGTGAAGTGAGGCTAGGTGGGGAATTGTCAGTGAGGGCTGTAAGCTGAAAAAGAGAGTGCCTTTCTGGATGTGAGCTGTTGGCACAAGTGTCAGATGTTAAATTGACTTGGTTTGGAAGCAAGATGATGCTGGCTTGGGACTTGGGGGTAGCTAATGGATTTTCTGTTATTTGCACTGACAGCGTTGAGTCGTGGGTCCGACCACAAGGGCCATAGTCACACCTGCACCTTTAGTTCAGCCTGGGTTGAGAAATGGAACGTGATTTTGTGCAAGGGCTGGGTTGGGCACAGAGGACACTGTCCCTGCATTGTATGCAAACTCTGGAGTGGGGACAGTTGGTCAGGGCCAGATGAGGCTTGCAAAAGGTAGGCCTGGGAGTATGTGAAGTGAGGCTTGGGAGACCCAGCAGATTGTATCCAAAGAGCATTGAGGTCTCGAGCTGGAGTCTAGCAGGCTCCAGATTGGGGTGATGCTTTGGCTCTGGAAATGACCCTGGATGGCAGTAGGCTGGGGCCTGTGGCTGGCCCAAATGTGCTGGGGTACAGTAGCCTCAATGTGGCCATCTACTTGGCAGCGTAATAGAACAGGGCTAAGGAGAGAGGAGGGCCTTATGATGATAACGAAGATGATGATGATCAACAGAAGGTAGCATTTATTGATCATATATTCCATGCCACGTACTACTTTAAGTGCTTTATATGTGTTAATTTATGGAATCCTCTTAACAACTTTATGGGCTAGGTCCTACAATTATCTTCATTTTGCTGGTGAGGAATCTGAGGCAGGGAGGTTGAACAGTGTGCTCCAGTTCACACAGCCAGTAAGTGGAGCTAGGATTTGAACTCAACTAGATCTATAGCCTGCTGGGGGGTTGAAGGGTGCAGGAGGGTGGGCTTCAATGAGAACAGATGTGATTGGACCTACTGGAGCCAGTGCATTCTCTGCTGCCCCCTCCCTGGCCCTCTTCCTGCTTCCTGTGCCCCTCCAAGTTCTGGGGATGCTTCCCTCCCAGGGGGTAGAAAACAAAGCCTTTCATCCACGTTTACTTCTTGCCCAAGTGCATCCTTTGAAGTAGCTCTCCTGCATCACCAGCATTTCCGAAGCCACTTCCAAGGATGTCTTGGGCGTCGGGGCTCCCACAACACAATGCATTGAGCCAAGAAGGCAGTTTATTGATTTGCAGACATCTGACCCGGGGACCTCTTCTTCCCCTCTCCCCATCATGGGAGCAGAGTGATGGGTAGAGGCAGCAGGGATGCCTGCTCAGCTGCCAACCCTGCTTATGCACACGAGTGACAAACTACCTTTTCAGGGCTTCCCTCGCACCTGCAACTCAGACCAGTTCCCTGGAGGGAACCTGTCCTCGGAAGCAAAGGAATTCTGCTGGTCTAGACTGTTGAAAGACAAGTCTCCCTTGGGCAGCCTACTGCTGCCCTGATGTGTGCTGGGCTCTGAGTTAGGGGCCTTCCCAGAGGCTATCTGCTTTAATCCACGAGGGGAGATGCTCAGATCCCTATTGGCTACAGAGGCAGGGCAGGTGCACCGAGCTGAGGACCTTCCCATGCAGGCACAGAGCAGCAGGCTTAGCTGCTTCAGCCCTTGCTTCTACACACTGCTGCCTTTTGGTGTGGTGAGGGGGAGACAGAAGAGGTGAGAAGGAAGAGGAGGGGAGGGAAGGGGCAGCTATCATGGCTGTGAGCCCTTCATGTTCCACTTTGGTTTTAAATGGGTAACATGTACACGTGAAGCATGTTAAAGAGATACTAAACGGTGTAGAGGGGAAGTCTTCATCTCACTCTGTCTTTTCTCCTTTGTTTCCTTCCTTGGAGGCAGCTGATTGTCCTGGTTTCTCATGTCCACTCACAGGGAGACTAGGAATATTCAAGCAGTTGCATCCTTGCTTGTCCTGTTAGAAACCCACAGATGGGAACGAAAGACACACACTCTTCTGCACTGAACTTTTCATTGGACAGTCTGTCTCAGAAATTGTTCCACATTGGAACAGAAATTGCTTTCTCATTCTTTTTTCCTGTTATGCAGATGTCCTATAATTTATTTAACCAGTTCACTGCTGTTAATCATTTATGCTGTTCCTAGTCTTTTGCTTTGACAAACAATGCCACAGTGACTACCCATGTGTTGTATGCATGTCATTTTGGGTGCGTGAATCTGTAAGAAAAAATTCCTCAGAGATACTGGGTCAGTGACTATGTGTCTTTGTCATTTTGGTAAACTTTGCCAAGCTGCCCTTGGCAAAGGTCATACTCATTTCACACCCCTGTCAGCGACCTGTGTGGGAGACAAGCCACCCTGATTATCCTTCTTTTGGGGAGTATGGGTTCAAAGCATCATCCTAGGCAGATGCCCCTGTATTCTTGAGCACCTCCCTTTGGGTAGCCCATTAGAGCCGAGAGTTCTGCCTGGTGGTTCCAGACTCTACTACTTCCATTTTCAGCCTTTCTTCATGTTTACTGGCACAAATCCAGATCGCTGTAGTTTCACATTGGAGCATGTGCCAAGAGATACCCACTGCCTCAGTGTCTTGTGCCATTTTGCACCTTAGCACCTCATCCATTTCTCCTCACTATGTGTTTCAAGGACAGGCCATTTACTCAGCTCTGGCCAGTGCAGCTGTGAATTGTTTGGGTCAGAACCACATGGAAAGGGCATCCGGGGTTCTCACAAACGGCCTCTGTCCTTGGTGCTCTCAGGGTTGGAATCCGTGCTGACGTTTGTTCCTTATCCTGGCCTCCTCTGTATTGTCGGATGAGGCTGGGAGGGGGCGTTTCCTCGAGTCCCATTGTTTAGAGCTGCAGAATTTTGCAGCTGTGAGGAACAGAGTCATCATTTCCAGCTTTAAAGTTGGAAGTGGGTCTTGGCAGAACACATTGAGTGGGACTTGGCAAAACACATATGCTGACTCTTATGGTGGGTAAAGCCATGGGCAGGGTGACTCTGACCTGTGGCAGAGTAAGATCAGTGCCTGAGGAGTATAAAGGAGGCTCAGAAGGAGGCTGGGAAGGCAAGAGGTTTCAACTCTTTGGAAGGGTTGAAGCTGAAGGATGCAGGGTGATGTTGGCAGGCGGCTGAGGGGAGTAAGGAGTGCATTCCAAGAGGAGGCAACTGGCTAGCCGGAACCGGATGGTGGGAAAGCAGCCCAGGTGGCCCCAAGTGGAGGGTCACTTGGGGTAATGTAAAAGGTCAGCTGGGGACAAACTGCAGTGGGCCTTGGGTGCCTGCCTCAAAGTTCTGACTTTTTTCAGTGGATAAGAGGGAGCTACTGGTGGTGTGGCAGAGAAGGGTGGTATGACTGGTGGAACACTTTATAGTTGTGGGTAGGATGTTCTGGAGCAGAGAGAGAGCACTGCAGGGGCAGAATCCACATGAGAGGATGTGGGGACGCAAAGGAAGAAGTGGGAGCCACCAGGGAGAATGAGGTATGGATAGGGGTTGGGGTCGTGGGGAGAGCTGACCTGGCTAGTGGGAGAGGGGAGTTCTTTGGCACAGCATTTCTTGGTGCTACCCTCAGAGATTCCCTGGCAGAACTGCCATAGAAGTCAACCTATGAGTTAGGGGTTCCAGGTAGGACAAAAACAGTGCCCTAGATGTCATGCCTTCAAATGAAAACACCGTTGACTCAACAAAATGGCCTTTGGTTCCCAGACCGGCCATTCATTCTCCTTGTCTTGTGTGTGAATGTTGTCATAACTTGAACACAATCCTTCTGCACTGCTAGCCCCTCAGCTCTGCAGATTCCTGATGGACTTTGCTGGGATTCTGACTTTACCCTGGAGCAAGATTTCTCAGTCTTGGAACTATCGGCATTTGATGTTGGACAATACTTTGTTTTAGGATCTGTCTGTACATTGTAGGATATTTAACAGGGAGAGATGGTATCCCTGACATCTACTCACTAGATGGCAATGGCACCCTCCCCTCGGTTGTGACAATTCTGACTATTCCCAGACATTGCCCAATGCCCCTGGAGTGCAAAACCACCCCGGTTGAGAAGCATGGCCCTGGAGAACCTGCCAGGTTATGTTGGCAGTGATGCCCGGGTAAGGCCCACATTCCTCATGGGTCTGAATTTCGGGGAACAGTGGTCTTTTCCAACTATTGCTGAGGATGAAAAGCAGATTCTGCCTCCAGCATTGAAGTCTGGCGAACGTGAAATTGATTGGAAGTTTATCTGACTCAGGCCTACGGAGGCCAGGGACTGATTTGCAGGGAATGGATTCCTCTCTTCCCTCCAGAACACTGAGGATGGTAAGAGGTGAATTCAGGGATGTCTGGCTGTACGATCCTGTTCTGAAGTGCCAAGCACGTCCTCTCCAGAAAGGCTGATGGTCCAGAGGCTGCAGGGCCGTCCCAATGACAGCTTTATCTCATTCTAATTTGGCTGAAAAACAAGCTTAAGTGTCCTATGATGTGGGAATGGTTAAATTATGCCACAGCCATACAGTGGACTATAATACAGCCATTGAAAATGTTTTCAAAGACTTTTACGATGGGAAATGCTCACAGTAGAATGTTAAATGGGGCAGAGCTGAGCTTGGGGGTGGGGGGCTAGGGGCTTAATTAGGGCTGCTGGGCAGTGGGACTAGGAGCAGCAGATGTGAGAGGCAGGGCTTGGAATCAGGAAAAGAAGGGGACCCCCTTGTAGCACCCTCACTTTTTAGCACCATCTAAGGCTTGTTTGTGGCCCCAGATAAAAATCTCTTCTGTTTTTTGCCAGTTAGTGAAAATGGATTTGGGGACTTCCAAGAGTGTAGTTTGACAGAAAGAGAACATTTCG